ACATCATAAGGATTCTGACTTCCCATAATTAAATAAAGAGCTTTTAAAATGAGTTTCCCGTTCATAGGAGATTGTCCATGTAGATAAACTCACCTGGTTTCAGGTAAATCTGACATCAGAACTTCTTATTTGACTCTGTTCAGACTAACGTTTGGTCTCTCTAACTGATGGAGACGAGAAGCTTCTCCTGTAGCCTCCACATGAGGCGTTTAGGGAACATCTGGAAGCTGCAGTGTCTGTTGAAAGCAGAACTTCAGCAAATGACGCATTTTGACTACGTGTATTTTGTCTTTGTGAGATTGCAGGTGAAGAAGAACTTTATTTTAAATGAGCAGGAATGTGGCAGAACATTCTCTGTCGGTTTAAACCTGAAAGTGCTTTTCGTCTCTACGGTTAACGAGTAATTGTGACAAACAGGCTAATCTCCGTATCGATCAGCTCCTCGAGCTGGAAGTGTTTTAGCTGCAGAAAGAACGACGTCACCGCTGGAGATGACTCATTTATTTAAATCAAAGCTCTGCATGACATCTGAAGCTAAACCCATAAAGCCTTTGTCAGTGTTTCACCCTATAAGAAAGGTTTAAAGTCATTTTTCTGCTTTTTTTAATAAGTAATTTCCTCCTTGCTATGCAGAGTCACTCGCCTACAGAATCATTCTGGGATGATTTATTCTCTCTAAATAGTTAATCAAGCCGTCTGCAGAAAATTCATGCTTGTCTTGCGTCAGTTTTTTTTCTAATAGTGTCGGACGTGTTGGGTTTTCAGACTGTGAGGTGACACTCCGGTATGTTTGTGGGTTTTCTTGTGTTTTAATGCTGTTTGTCTCCCCGTGTTTGTCCCTGGACAGGATACGAGCGCTACAACGCCATGCGAGCCGATCCAGACCTGTGTTTCCTGGAAAGAGTCGGGATGCCGGACGTCACGGCGCTGACGGCCGAGCAGGGAGGAGGGGAGATAGCGCCGGACATGGCAGACAGGTACGGTGCTGATAGGTAGACGTACAATCAAACCACAGTGGATTTTAACGCTCGTCTTCTCCAAACTGTCGTCTCGTAGATGTTCTCTGAGCCACGTGGCCCCAGATCTGTGATAATATCAGTTTCTGGGTGTTTTTTTTCTTCGCACTTGGTTCATTTTTCATCTTTAAGTCCTGCACCTCTATGGAAACAGGAAAAACATACAGCAGAGTGCTGAGAACTCAGAAGTGTCTTTCTTGTCGTACGATAAAGTCACAGTGGCTGTTTGTCAGCTGGTAGAGCAGGTTGTCCACGAGGTGTCAAGATGAATGAATGACACTTAAAAGTAAGCTAAATACAAACATAAGTAAGTAATTTCCCATTTCCAAAACCAGAAATCATAAAAAGAATTAACAAAAGGTGAATTTCTGACTTTTTTTAATTTACAAAAATTGAAAAAGCCTTGAATTCAACAAGTGTTACCAATACTAGATGAAGTTTAACTTTTTATATTTTTATTTTGCTATCATACTTGTCTCCTCTCTGCTCTGTGTGGACACTGTCTGCAGTTCAGCCGAAAAGTTCCCTGAATTTTTGCTCTGCGAGTGTTTATCACAGCTGAGTCATTGATGACTCCACAGTTGCGATGAAGAGAGCAGAATTTTTAGTTTTTTTACAGAATCTGCTTCGTGCAAACAGTTCATTTTTGGCATTTTTAAAAAAAAAGAGACAAGTGAAATAAAGGGATTTTTGATTAAATATCACGTTTTAAAGATTATTTTTCATTCTTAATTCTTTAGACAAAACTAAAAATCCCACTTGATAAGTTCAAACGCTGTCTGAAACGTGAAAATCCGACGATTTATTCTGTTTTTACAGTTTCTGGATTTAATAAACGGTGGAATTTTTGTTGATTTCTTTTCTTTAAACAAATTGTTTTTTCAAGCCAACCAAAGTAGATTATGACACAAGTGTCCTGGGATTAAACTGGCTTAACCTCACAATTTTAAGGATTCAAGCAAAGCTTTTCTGTTGCATTCCTCGGAGCAAATTTTCAATTAAAAGTAGCAGAAATTTAAAAAAACCAGACACAAAGCCTGGAGCCAAAGTCCAGCTCTGTCCGTGGCCGAGCCTCCCCGCAGATCTCCGGCGGCTCCTCCTTCCACTCTCGCTGTCGGTTGTAGTTTTTCGCGGCAGACGCTGGTGTGAAAAACACGTCGCGTCTTTCTTCTGCGGTTTGTTGTTGCTGACACCTCACGGCCCACACACCTGCTTTACATGCCGAGTGCACAGAGCCGGATTGAGACGCGCAGAAATGCAAATGCAAAGGGTGATATCAAGGTTCTCGTTATGTTGGCAAGAGGAGGATAATGTTTTAACGACGCCTAACAGACCGACACACACACACAGCTGCAGATACACGACGTCACTGTTGTTCTTATGCAGCACGTTTACAACAGGAGCCCGTTCGTTAGAGTGACTGACGTTACAAAACGTCAGTCACTCCCACACACCTGGGAGTCCATCCTGGACCGGACACGAGCGGGCAAACACCAGTTATCTCGTTTTCATGAGAAAATGATTCTTGTTATCCCGAGATAACGAGAAAATTAGCTCGTTATCTCGAGAAAACGGCGAAGAAAGAACAGTAGCGGAAAACGACCGCTCTCGGCTTCCGTAGGAATGTGCAAAGCAGCGTCATAAATATAACTTTAAATGTGCAAAAGGATAATAACAATAATCCTGTGTGATCATTTCTGGTATGATTTTACTTGACTAATTTACATATTAGGGATTAAAAACCTGCAAACGTTGTATGAAATGCTACTTTTTCCTGACTATAATCTACAACAAGGCTGAGACCTTGCAGTGTGTAATATCACACAGTATTAAATTCTGTCCTTAACCCACCACTGAACTCTAACAGCTGCACGCTTTTCCTGCACAAGAGCTGTGAAACTCGTCCTCACCGGTCGGTTTCTCGGCTAGTTTCACTGCATTTGCAAGTCTTGCAGGAAGAACCCTCGCTGACAAAAAAAAAAAAAAAAAGGAATAAGTGAGAGGGATCCAGTGTGGGAAATGTATTTTCTGGGCGCCGTCGCTCCGGCTGATGGCAGCGCTGCCGAAGATGAGACGCCGCGTTGGAGCGGAGGATGCTTTGATCCTCTTCCTGAAGGTAATTGAAGTTGTCACTCGCTTTGTTACCTGTTCAACCTGAAGCTGTTCCCAGCTGAGCACAGCGACCGAGCAGCAGGAAGACGTCCTCGCCTCAAAGCGTTAACTCCGCGGGGTTCCTGCACCGGGTTCGGAGTGGGACGAGGGGGGGACGAGCTAAATAAATGCAAGAGAGGAGCTGATGTTACAGGGATGAAATTGCGCTCGCGGAGACGGAGGTGCGCGGAAACCGGGGCTGGAAAAAGTGTTTTGCGCGCTAATGCCTTCCCTTATTGCTGCCTGAGGGCTGTTTGCTTTCTGGGAAATCCCGACCACAACACAGGTGTGCAAAGCAAACAGACGGGGTATTTAGGAGGCTTAGGGGTGTTGAAACGCAGCTGAAGATGTTTGCAAATTCTTTTAAGTCGTATAAAAGTGATCAGTCAAAGGAAATTAATTAACGAATCTGATGAGTATTTCCCCTCATTTGACTGTTTTCTAGCAATGAATGCTGAATCCAGTAAAATTTCCTGCTCCAAGTGGACAGAAAGTTAATGTTTATCCTCCACTGATAAAACCCTGCATCAGGTTTCTCCCATTTAAAGGCGCCTCGATTAGCAAGAATTCACATCCTTCCTTTGTTTGCGTGTTTGCAATCGAATCAGAGAAAAACACCAACAGTCGCAAACCACCAAGTTTTATTTGTCAAGTGAACTTTGAAGTATGCACGAGACGAGTTTTAGAGTTCAGCAGCAACTCAAATTAATGTCACGTAGTTAAAGAACCGCCTCGATCGTTGCTGCAGTTTTAAAAATCCTCTGAAGAGCAGAAATATAACGGACTGACGGTGATGCAGCTCTTCAGCTTCCTTTTATTCTTCCTTTAATCCAACTTGAATTTAGTTGTCAGCATCATAAACGATCAACCGTTTGAACTCAGAGAAGTAATAAGAAATAATCAACAAAATTAAATAAACAGACAAAATAGGCAGTTTTTTAGAATTTTCTGAGGGTCCTTGTGCCAGTAAAGGTGCAGTTCAGACGGAAAACTAAACCAAACATCAGAATCACTTTGCTCTAAATGTCTCGTTTTAAAAAATTGTCAAAAATAAGCAGTTAGCACCATTCTGTAAAAAACAAGAAATTCTGTGCTTCTTGGTGCAACAACGAAGGCACGACTGACTGAGCTGTGATCAACGGTCGGACGGGAAAAAATCCCAGAATTTATTTTTTTTAATTTAATTTAATTTTTTTGTGCCTGAACCGGGCTGAACTGCAGGCAGTGTTCTACAGAGCAGGTGGGAAAAAATAAGGACGCACATTAAGAAGAGAAGTAGTGAAACATCTGCAGCATGTTTTGCAGCTGGAAAAATGTTGTGCATGTAGATTTCAGATTTGTGTTTTTATTTTTTTAATTTAGTAAAATAAGTAATGAAAGAAATTCAAGTGTCTTTTTTTTCTTTTGGTTCCGACTTATGGCTTTATAGCTTTGTTCTGCAGCACATAAGACATTTCTGAGTCCTCTGTACGTCTACTCATGGTTGTTCTGTTTCCATAGAGGTCCAGGACTTTAATTTGAAGAGAAAAATGAACCTACAGTGAAGAAAAACGCCCACAAACTGGAACAGAAGCTTCATTTTATTCATTCATTCATTTTGTTGTCTCAATACGACGCCGCTGTTTGTTGCTTTGATTCTTTTCTGCTCTTGTCTCGTCGTATTAATAACAACACTTCAGCTTTGTTTCTATTCATTTGCCTTGAGTTCACACGTTGCCATCAGCTAAACGCCTGCAGATGTGAATTCACCTCCGACTCCTTTTGTCGCTTCGTTGAAAACTTCCTTTCTTGCGCCTCAGGAAGAATCCGTCTCAACAACAGTTTGATGCCGCCTCGTATTTAACCTGTTTCCTGGCCACATTCTGACAGGTCATAATTCCCTTTGCGGTGTTTCTGCACTTGTTCCGTTTTGTTTTCCCGAGCTCTGATGGGTTTTTTTTTGTCTTTAGTCGGGCGTTTAAGGAAGCGTGTGTTCGTCTCGGTCGTGCAGCTGCGCGGCTCAATAGGACGCCGTCGCTGTTGTTAAAGATTCTTTTCTGCTTTTGTCCTCAGCGTGTGCAAAACCGAGGAGGCGAAGGATGACGCCGAAGGCAAAGCCGACGGAGGGGAGGACAGAGACGAGAGCAGCAAGGTGAAGCCAGAACTCTCCTGAGATGTGACGTTAGCCGTTATTCTCCCTCTTCCTTCCTTTCATACACTTCTCACACACTCCACGGACAGTCTGGGATTCAGTTGCACACTTTTTGGACCCATTATAAACTAATGTATTTGTCGATTTGGCCCAAAGTGGCCTCCGGGAAGATTTTTTTTTTTTTTTACACTTTGGATGCTTCCAAGCTGAAGACCTGTGGGGCTTCGGGTTACAGTAGAAACAGTTAATGGTGCATTTAAAAAAAAATAAAGCATTAACACATTCAACCAACAGTGGACAGATAATGTTAGAGGATTTGTTGAATTCCAACTATAAAATCTAATCTTGGTTTTTATTTCCCCCCCACGTTTCACCAGTTAACATAAAAGGGAACATCAAATGTCAAACACACTGCTTTCATTTTTAAATTTCTACAGATGTTTTGTGGCTAAAAATCAGCATTTATCATTTAAAAAAAGGATAAAACATTACATTTTCCAACTTTGGACCATTACTTACATAATTTGTGTTGTTTTTTTGTGGGAGATGGTCGTAGTGGGACAAAATTCAGTATACAGCCGTGACTCGATAATCGGACCCTTAACGATCCTAAACCTGCTATCTGACAGGTTTTTAGGAAAAACAAGCAGAACCCATTAAAAACAGCCTTAACATAGCGACAGCCTTGGATTCTGACTCCAACATGACATTTAATGTCACCAATCAGGATGACGGCGTATTATCTGACTGAACAATCCCACAGATTGGCTACGTTCACACTGCAGGACTTGATGCTCAATGAGGATTTCTTTGTGACTTCCTTCACGTTTCCACTTCAATGCGACTTGTATGTGATCTGCTGTGTGAACTTCATACGACCCAAAAGTGTCCCGCATGCGCAGAAGAGGACACGACGACGTCACACGCAGCGAGCGTGCTCAGTGTTTATGGAAGTAAACATGGATGGTAACGGTGGAGCGTATCTGCCACTCCCCCGCCGCCACCGATGGAGGAAACAGAAGTGTGAGCGCTAACTAAACTAGCATCAGCAGCCAAGTACTGCCTGTGTGTTCTGGACACTTCCACCCCGTCACTTCCGCGGGGTGGAAGTGTCCCCCAACCACACCGAATATTCTGATGTTCATCATTAATTGGGCCTGAATATCCAGAGACTATAAAGTGCTATTGGGACCAGCTCTACTAGTTATTATAACAACTATGAGCAATAAATATTAGCGACAAATGAGCCTTCCAGCATCAAGCCCTCCTTGTATCTGGACCTCCGTCTTGACAATCCGACAGCCTTGATATCCGACATAAAAGAAGGTTTTACATTTAGTGTCGGATCATCGAGTCACGACTGTATTTGTATTTTAATAATAACATAATTCGGAATGTTCCTGATAAGCCGGATCCTGTCTTTACATCTGCTGTCACACGTGTGAAAGATTTCCTCAATATGTGCCGTGATCTCAATCGATAATTCATGAATAGATAATAAATATTCAGCACAGTTTGTATTCATGTCTGTAGGTTGCTGGTAAACCCTCGGTCACAAAAGTCATCTAGGTTATAGCAGCAATGTCCTAATTGATCCTGACTTGATTTAACACTTGGTCGTTAAGCCTCACAGGAGTCTTTGGAAGCCATGGTGCCCATTTACTCGCTAAACCCCCACAATGCTCTCTGCTAGCCCACATGGAAGAACCCTTTATTAATCTGGATGATCGGTCATTTGCAATAAACAGCCATGAACAAAACATGTTTATCACAGCCTAACGCTCCACGAAAAGCTGCTACAACAAGGATAAGGTTGTTTTAAGTGCTGCTTTTATAGTTTGTTGGACCTCTGCGGCACCAACACACACTAACCAAACATCCACAGCTGGAAATGAATGAGTAAATGAATCCAACACCTTCCATGATGTAGGATTTTAAGAATATACATTTACAAAATATCCTCAGTAAAGTTGTGATATTGGTTCGAACGGTATCTTCCTGAAAGAACAAGTTGTCGCTGATGTTTCTACAGTAGAATTTGGAATTTGAAGGTTTCTGTCGTGTTCATTTAGAAGTTTGTTTATTTACTCCTGGGTAATTTTTGTTTGTTTGTGTTTCGTTCACAGGGAGAAGAAACCTGCTCCAGCACCGATACCTCTGACAAGCCGGACAGCACCGGTCCAGGTGAGAAACTCCTACATACATAAACTCATCCTACGTTTTGGGGCATAACATGGAGTAAAGTTCAACACAAAGATGCATCTTTACACACACTTATATTCAGGCCAGTTTGTCTTCATTCGATAACAAGTTTTAAAACATCTCGACCTTCTTGCAGGTTGTAACGGATATTTAAATTCGACTTTTCCTTACTGACACCACAATTCAAAGCCATTCCTCTGCCCTGGATTCCCCCCTCTGCTCTTTAAAGAGGAGTTTTTTTTGTGTTTCACTTTTCTGCTGAAGTCTTCATTTCGCCGCCGCTCCGCCGAGGACCGGCCCGGTCGAACGTACGAAATGAGTTTTGGTAGTTTTAACGGCGCTCGCTCTCTCTGCGGGTTCATTTAATGGACATCTAAATGTTAAACAGCCCTCTGGAGGCAGATAGAAAGACGTTCGGACACGAATGCCATGTAACCCGTTGTTTGGGTCTAAATGAGGGCACTTAGGAGATAATATTCTTCCTGACTGTTAGTATTCCGAACGTGATGCCACTTCAAGGTTTAAGGGAAGCTGCGGTTTGTGTGTTCAGTGACGAGCAAATTAAATTTTCCAAACCTCAGGGGCCACAAGTATAATGTGCCGCTTTGATTAATTTAGTTTTTAAGGCAATTCCAGCCTCTCGCCGTCTAGAGACGTACGTCACGTGCTGCGAGAATCTGAGTGACTGGATGTTGTAGTGAAGTCAAAAAGACGCCTCTTCTTAGCACATTAGGCAGGCGTGCATCAGGCAAGTGTGTGCATGTGAAGCAAAATGGTCAAATAATGTTCAGGTTCAGCTCGAATGCTGTTCATAACCCAAGGAAGGAAGGAGAGACAACAAAGCGCTGTATTTTTTTGCAGTACAAGACGGTTAAAGTGCCGCAAATCGTGTTTTTAAATGCAAAAATTTTAAAAACCTAGAATCCAAAATGTACAACGTTTCTCCAAAAGCACTCAGGTTTTCCTCGACATCTCACAGATGTTTCTACTACATGCATTTTGAATTAGTTTCCTCTATACTCTGTGTAAACACTGCCTGCAGTTCAACCCGAAACTCCCAGAATTTTTGCAATGCGACTGTTGGTCACAGCTGAGTCACGCTTTTTTACAGAATCATCTAATTACAAATGGTTGATTTTTGGCCTTTTTTCTTAAACTGACAAATGTATAGACATTTCTAAATGATATATCAGGATTTTAAGACTAGCTTTGGTTTACTTTCTCGACAAAATCAGTGA